TTTAAGAAATAAGGTATCATTTTTTGAGGTTTATTGAGATGTAAAACGGGTTGGTCACGTGATCAAATCCCATAAAGCCCGAAGGGCTTTATGGAAGATTTGATCATGTGCCAACCCGTTTTACATCTCAATAAAACTCAAAAAAGATACCTTATTACTTATATTTATATTTGTGACTTACTCATACTTTAAATTTGCCTGATTGTTACTTTTAACGTGCGAAATGCGTTATTTTTCAAACCCAACGGCATGTATGTAATCCACTAAACGCGCGTCGACCCTTTATGACATCACAAAGAGATTACGTCGAACGTTTATCCAAACGCACATCTATGACCTCTTGACCCCAAACCTGTATTTATACAGTTATAAAAACGCTTGCTTTCAGTAGTGTTATATAAAGAAAAACATTTGCAAATGTAAATATTGATTATTAACAATGTTAAGCCTATATCGCAGTTGCAAAAGTCAACAGGTAAAAACAAACGTCATTATTACGACGTCACTTTGACATAGAACGACATAGGTCCCCCTTAAGGGTTTGCTGACGTCACAATAGGATTTGACATAAAAAGATTACCGCGTTCAGATTAGCAAGCAAAAAATATATCTTCAGCAGTATTGTATGCAGTAAAAAGTGAAATATATATTAAAGATTGTTTGGTGTTTTTAAATATTTTTTTTATGTCATTGAAAATAATTGATGTTCTGATCAAGATTGAATTTTACATTATAAGTAGTATTTAACGCTGATATCTGTTGTGTGCACGTACCTTTCAAAAATACTATTGCCTAATTGTTAATGCAACACAAAAACAGATCCACCGCCGGTGTGTCTGGCGCCTGCCCTGCATTTTATTTTTTTTTTACTTTAATTAATTTTTTTTGCTTGTTTAATTTAGTCTACATAGTACACACTAATCTACTTTATTTTTATTTGTTCAACAACCGTCTCTAACTTCATTTTCTTTGCGATGATGTACGCTTAGATTAGTAAATTAGATAATTATCAACAGGAGAGACGTTAATGATTTAATAATAATCACCAAATAAAATATCACCAACTAAAATATGTATGTCCTATAAATTGTCATCTATAATTAACTCAGGCCCTTTAATTGACAATCAATAGCGATTCGGCGTACAACTACGATTGGTGTTTTGTGTGGAAGTTGGGATGTCAAGGCAAGAGTTTCAGGCCCATAGGAAGCAATTTCAGTTATGGGCACAGCTACTAGTATATATTTTCAGTTGGAGTACTATCCAGGCACGTAGCATCGTTTTTGAAAGTAGAGGGGGGCAACCAGAAAAAAATTTCTTTGCCTCCCTGTAAAAGTTGACAAGCCAAAAAAAAAAAAGGAAATTACCCAAACTCAAAAATCCTATTTCGCAGGGAGGGGGTGGGGGTAGTGGCCAACTTTTTCCAAGGCAAACTTCCTTTTACTTCCAATTTTTTGGCATACAGTACTACATTTCCTTCTTATCACTAAACGGTGGTTAGAAGTGGGGGGCCAACCAACCTTTCGGTGTACATTTTCAATAGTAAAGGTAGTGTTGGGAAAAAAAGGGGGGGGGGCAGGCCCCCCTGTTGCTACGTACCTGCTATCAACAACCAAAAATTCCTCGACAAGCATAAAAAAGGAGGGAGAAGTATCAGGCATTTTAACTGAGGGGACACGAGCATGTGGTAGTAATTTTTTCTAAAGTGTTGATTTGAACATATTTTATTGTAATATAATTACAAAGGGATTGAGCACAAGTACTGAATACTTATAACGCCCTCTCCCTATACATGTAAATTACACATTGATATTGTCACAGTTAAACATGCTATATAAAGGATTCAGAATTTGCAAAAGTAAACAAATTGATGCATTTTGCATATATGTATAAAGATATAAAAGTTGAACAAATTCATATATTAATACATAGGTACAGTAATTAACAAGGAAATCTACCAGAATGCTTAATAAATGTTTGAACAAAAGAAAAGAGACGTTCATTCTCTGCAGCACTCAGTGATTCAACCCCCCATAATAAGACATGTGTATCTAGTATGCGGATTTTATCAGATTGTAAAAAATTATTTAAAAATTCATTTCTGGCGTTCGCATACTTTGGACATACGAAAAAATAATGATATGTGTCCTCAACTTTACCGCATGTGCACAAGGGACTTGATATTAAATTTCATCTATAAAGGTCGTTATTTAATACACAATTATGTCGTAGTCTGGTTTGAAGAACATTAAGTCTTCTGTTACCGTAATCAAAGTAAGAAGGTGGGGCAGATCTAGATTTTTTATTACTAATTTTAGATTTGAATTTTGACATTGACTGTAAATTTCGAGTTTCAAGTGGAATGGAGTTCCATTCGTTAACTACAGTAGGAATAAAAGTAGACTTATAAGTTTGTAATCTACACTTTGGAATATCATAATTTTGAGAATTTCTTGTCGAGTAGATAGATGTGTTACAGCGCATATTTGGAAGGATGTCCATTAAGTATTCTGGCACTAAATTATTATGAAGTTTGAACATTGTTTTTAGCTCTACTGGTCAGAGACCAGAAGAGCTTATGCGATAGTAATGCGTCCGTCGTCCGTCCGTCTGTCTGTCTGTCTGTCTGTCTGTAAACAATTTTTCAAAATGCTACTCCTCCTACAGTTTTGGTCCGATTTCAATATAACTTGGCACACAAGTAGACTACACTAAGATACATAATTTTGTGCATCGGTTTTTGATTTCGATGAACGGTGTTGCCATGGTTACTAAAAATAGAAATTTCTGTGAAATTCTTTCAAAATGCTACTCCTCCTACAGTTTTGGTCTGATTTCAATATAACTTGGCACAAAAGTAGACTACACTAAGATACATAATTCTGTGCATCGGTTTTTGATTTCGATGACCGGTGTTGCCGTGGTTACTAAAAATAGAAATTTCTGTGAAATTCTTTCAAAATGCTACTCCTCCTACAGTTTTGGTCCAGTTTCAATATTACTTGGCACACAAGTAGACTACACTAAGATACATAATTCTGTGCATCGGTTTTATGATTTCGATGAACGGTGTTGCCGTGGTTACTAAAAATAGAAATTTCTTTCGAATTCTTTCAAAATGCTACTCCTCCTACAGACTTGGTCCGATTTCAGTATAACTTGGCACACAAGTAGACTACACTAAGATACATAATTCTGTGCATCGGTTTTTGATTTCGATAAACGGTGTTGCCGTGGTTACTAAAAATAGAAATTTCTGTGAAATTCTTTCAAAATGCTACTCCTCCTACAGTTTTGGTCTGATTTTGATATAACTTGGCATACAAGTAGACTACACTAAGATACATAATTCTGTGCATCGGTTTTTGATTTCAATGAACGGTGTTGCCATGGTTACTAAAAATAGAAATTTCTGTGAAATTCTTTCAAAATGCTACTCCTCCTACAGTTTTGGTCTGATTTCAGTATAACTTGGCACACAAGTAGACTATACTAAGATACATAATTCTGTGCATTGGTTTTTATTATGATGAGTGGCAAGGATCATTTTTCTATTTATTGCTGATTTAAAGTCTCAAGTCCCAACTGCTACTTTTCTCTTCCTTTGTTTTAAGTATAAACCAGTAGAGCTACAGTCTCGACAGAGACTTCTGGTTAATCTAGCTTCTTGTCTTCTACAACTAAGCGGTTCCCATCCCGTTTCAAAATAAAGTGAATCTTTGGAAACTATAGTTGTTAACCCTGTTACAATTCTAGCTGTATAAAGTTGAAGTTTTTCTAACTTATCACTATCACCCTGTTGACAGCACCCCCACACCACTGAAGCGTATTCAAGTTGCGGTCTTATGAATGATGTATACATGAGTGAGAGTGTTTTTCGATTTACTTTAAATTTTAATTTTTTCAAAAGAGACAATTTTTTGTAAGCAATAGACAGTATATTATCAATATGTGGTGACCAACTGGCATCGTGTGAAAATAGTACTCCGAGGTGTTTGTGTTCAGTAATGAAGACTAATTCACATTGTTGAAAAAGAAGCTTAGGATATTCTATATTTTTCTTTGTGCTAAACATTATTACTTTTGTTTTAGAGGGATTAAATTTCAATAACCATTTTTTAGACCATAGTTCCAGAGCATTTAAATCTTTGTTTAAGTCACTTTCAATTCTTTTCATGTTATGAGACGAATGCTGCAAAGAATTATCATCAGCAAATAATCTACAAAATTACATTCTAAAGTGTTAATACTTGTTTTCTATAGTACGAGGGTTGTCCCGTAAAATCGTGCACAAGTTTAGTTTGAAAAATAAACATCACTGCGTTCTGAAATTTTCACTATTATTTAGTACATATTTTAGTAATATACGCAGCAAATTTCAGATAAATATATGCATAAATAAACAAATTATGAGATTTTATGCCATGTATTGTATCACCTTACGGCGCATGGATTATAAAGTCAAAGTGGCTAAAACAGCGTCACGTTTTTTCTTTGCTGAAAATGAAGTTGGGTTAGTCAGACTTAAATTTAGGAATTTCATTGATACACATTCTTTAGTCTCCATTAACAGTCGAAGAACCAATTGGCACCCTCATTTGATCTTCTGAAGATTTATTAGAAAGTTACGGACAATATTCTAACCATCATTCAACTAATTAAAAATCTCATATCGGCGGTCTACTGTGACAGCGTCTTTTGCTATTAGATTAGGAGTTTGTCCGTATGTTTTGTACTCTCCAGGGACTCGATCAGGAAAAAAACTGCGATAAGAAAACTCCTATTTCATTTGTATACTTAAGATATGGTGATATTTTTATCATCCTTTTTCTTCTATGGTCATTTCGAGTCTCTAAAGGTGTCATTACAACATCGAAATAAAACTGAACTGCGCGTGTTCTCCGGTGCGCCGTAACGTCAAAATATTGTATTTTGTATATCAAAAAAACTTATTCATTATATATTGATTTGTGAGAGTATTTTTTGATTTACAGATGGAAAGTTTAATGAGGATTGCACTGCAACAGTACCCTGTGAAAATTCCAGTTATTTAATATGTAATAAAGGCAAATGTCTTTGTAACACAACGTCCTACCACAATGCCAAAGTATGTTATCCAAGTAAGTGACACCTCAAAAAGTAGGTGCTTATTCTAGTATGATAAAAACCAAAAAATGGCCTGAACAATTCAATTCAAAATTTGTTTTAAAATAAGCATCTTTAAAAGGTCTTAATTGCAAACAATCATACGTTTAACTCTGATTTGTTTTTCAAGATCAACTAAGAAACCTTAATTGGACTTCTCCATTCCTTTTGATTAATTTGTGATTCTTAATTATCAGGAACCCGTCTAATTCCATATATAAGCGCCATCAACAGTTCAACATCACAGTTCTCTGTGTTCTGGAGCCATCCCTCTGTGGATTTTGACCTTGTCATCGGCTATACGGTCTACTGGAGGCAGAATGGTGGTTCTACATCTCAACAAGCAGTTGATAGGGGGAAGAATACCACCATTATCAACTCAGGCCTAATGTCTGGTCAGCGGTACATTGTAACTGTTTCTGCTGTTGTCAGGCTAACAGATCCAGAGGAAACCATTACTATAGACTCATATGGGAAAGAAGTGAGATTAGGTTTGTTGATTTTATTTCACTGAATATATGAATACCCTATATATTATTCTCACCATTCTAAGTATTTTTATCTCACCTCATTGAAGTTGAAGCTTATGTGATACCCTCAGCTTCGGCATCCAAGGTTAAAGTTTTTGGTGCAGTTTTTTATGCAATACATTAATAAGAGATGCATGCAAGATGCTTCTAGTGTGTTTCATTGTACCAGATAAGGTTTCAGATGCTGCAATTTCAGGAAAGAAATGTTTTTGGAGTAAGTTAATGTTTCTGGTGCAGGTTAAAGGTTTTGGTGAAGGTCTCATATCCAAGTAACTATAAGCCCCATGTTGACCAAACTTGTATAGAAGGATATGGAAATAACGAAGGATATGGGATATGTTATATCCAAGGATTCGGCTTGCTTCAGATGCTGGATCTAACCTACATTTTCTAGATGAGTGTACAGGTTAATATCTATTTCTATAAGTTACTAATACCCCATTCAAACGACATGATTTGCATACCTCCGTATATTTTACTCATATGTTAATTTACTCACATGTGCAATTTTGGTCGTATGAACTGATTTGCTCACATGTAAATTCTGCACAGTTGAGTAAATTTACACCTGGTCAGGACTAGGTGCAAATTAACTTTTGCGTAGATGTTGTCGCAAATTATTAGTTCTTGTGAGTAAATCTTGTCGTATGAACACGCAGCAAATTTACTTATGTACGTATTTTGTTTTGTTTATTGCATAAATCTACATTTTAAGTGTTTTTTCCATTGTTTATGCATTGTAAAGTGTCTAATATCAGTCTGTTAACATGGCGGCTAGAAAGCAAAAGAAAAAAACGGGATTTTTTATGGTTATCTTTGCTGTACATATGTACTTCAAGGACAGATGAAAGTAAAAATTTAGAGTTTTTATAAGGATACTGCTTTAAAGACTTTAAAGGATACGCTGGGTTGTACTATCATAGGTCTTTCAACGAATGCCTTTTTCAACTCTGAAAACATCGACTCTGAAAACAAGGATCCAATCTATATCTCCAGTTTCCCCTGAGATAAATTTGAATTTGCAAAAACATGTGCATTTTGCACCCTTTCTAGCAAACCTATGATTATGCCTCTAAATTATAAAAAATATGCACTGTAGCTGTGGTCGCGCAAATATGTGTCCTGCAGGATCAATCAGTAGTCCCCTTACTATTCAAGTACAGTACTGAGTAGTCTTCATGGGAATGCTTCGGAGCTGTGATAGGTATAGGCATTGCATCAATCGGGCGGGCCCCATAACAGATTGAATTTATTCTACCTTTCTTTGATTTTAAACCAAGGCAAGCTACTGACAAATAAATTGATGATACAGGAATTTCATAAACTGTTGAAAATAAGCATTTTAAAGTATTCCATGATTCATGTGGATTCTTATTTATTTCCAATTCAAATAGCTGTTTTGTTTTAATTTTTTTTAATCGATTGCCCATTTCATTCTCCTGGAAAATATAGGTAATATTCAAGCAGATATTTCATAATGAACTTGCAAACTTGATGTACTGTAGATTTCCAAACACCAAAAAGATTTCCAGTCGTCCTTTATTCTGCTGAAGACGCCAACCAGTAGTCAGCCATCTTTTTCTTAACACCCAAAGGCTCTTCTATAGTCTTAAGGACAAGACCAAAGCATTTTTCAACTTCAAACAATGATCAATTTTCCTTTTTTCGTGTGAAAACTTTTTCTTAAAGTTCGTTTTTATCCATACCAAAAAATAAATGGATCAGATTTCCGGGCCCCCTGCTTTCTTTGAGGAACATTCAAAAGTTAGTCTTATATCCAAATAGTAAGAAAATAACCTTTTTCTGTAAAAATCTACAATTCTGAATCTGTGGATCTCCTTATTTTATATGAAAATCTGAGGATTTACTTACAGTACATAAATCTCGTCTGAACGCATAGCAAATTAACTTTTACTTACATGTGTATATTTACTCATATGTAAATTTGCACACATAAGCAAATTTTCGTCGTATGAATGGGGTATAAGATGCTGGGTTTGAATTACGTTTTCTGGATGAGTGACTAGTTTTTAATTTTAGAATAAGTCTGTTTCCAAGTAACTGCAAACCCCATAAGATGAAAATTGCATAAATGTTGAGTTGCACACTACTATATAGAATATTAGTTTAATGTGGGACTTTGTCTTACTAAAGACAACATTAATTGAGATGAGCTATGTAATTTCTGATCTATGTTTTTTTTTCAGATCCACTTCCACCTGGTTCTATATTACACAGTGAAAGTTCTTTTGTTCACGACAACCTCACCTTAAAGTGGACTCCTCCATCCGATACCTTCTTTACCATATATATGAAGTAATGATTGACAGCACAATACAGTTTACTGCAGATAGTAATCCAAGGATCCATTTTACAATGAAATCATTGACCCCTGGTAAATACTATGTTGTCAGTATCGTGACAATCAGTGGTACATTGAGTGATGAAAAGAGGAGTACAGCCTACAATGAGACGATCAGAATTACCCCAACAAGTAAGGAGTAGATTTTTTACTGCTAACAATTCTGGATATAAATGGGACTAAGATAAAATAAAAATTATTATTCATTTGACTCAAGAAAATACTGAGGTATGTCAGCATCTGCCTTTGTTAATATAAATCAATTATATTTATTTCTTTTTAAGGACCGGGTCCACCTATTAAAGTAAGTTGTCCACAACACCCAAAGGACAACTCTTTAGAAATATCTTGGGAGCCTCCCACTAACCCTAATGGAGAGATTGTGATGTACCAGATTCACGTAAATCCTGGAAGTCCTACAGGTTTCATCATTAACACACAAAACAATGTGACAAATTACAATGTCATGGGGTTAAGTCCAGGTATTTTTCTCCTTGAAATTATTGATTAATGTGTGAAAAGATATTATTCATAGTGCGTGATTATTACACTCTTGCTTTAAAAGTGGAAGACTATTAGTATTAAGTGATGTGGATGTCTGTCCGTCTGTACGTCCGACCGTCCGTCTGCTAGGCTTTGGGGTACCAGGCATCTGTTATACGTAACTCCTTTTATACCATTGAATTAAATTGAATGGGAATTTCATAGAATCTTTGTTACATGGAGCCATTGTGCATTTTCTATTTTAACTTTTGAGAGGACACATATTTCAGGTTCTTAATAGAAAAATATGGACACTGTTATTCTTTCTATATTATTGAAGAATACCCATCTCTTATCCGCAACTCCTCCCATAATACATGTATACAACTTAATGAAATGATGATGATTTCACAGAATCTTTATTACATAATTTCGTTGTGCTCCTGGTATCTTAATATTTATCTACCACTTATTTCGATAGTTCTTAAAATAACGACTTAAATATTATTGTTATTTATCGATTGTTAATTATTATCGATTAAAAATAATTTTGATTTAAAAAAACATGGAAAAAATTTAATTACTTTGTCCAAGACAAAATAAAATAGTTCTATAATAATACAAAAGCTTCTGAAAAGCCACTTAAAATACTTTGCTTATCAGAAAAAGCAGAAATTTATATATATGTGAACTGTCCAAACTATTGTTGATTTATCGAACCCCGATCCTTCAACTAGCGTCGGAATTTAATAAATATTATGGATTCTGTTGGAGATTACGCCAGACGATGGGCCAGATATGAAAAGAAGACGTTGACACTTTGTCAGAATGGATTAAATGTATCAGATCCATGTTAAAATCGCGTATTAGAAGATTGAGGAGCAATATGAAAACCATTTATCCTTCTGTATTCAATAACACAGAACTGAAAAAATAGATAGATTACATGATCAGTACGTTCTGTTCCCTGCTGACAAATCAGGTAACAATTTAACATTGTCTTCGTTTTTAAGGCTCATTATATAAATGAAGAATTTGGATTTTAATTGTTTTAGTGGTAATCCAACTTATGCTCATAGTTCCCTTTCGAAAGAAGAAATTTTTCAAAATAAAATGTCAGGTTTGAATATTTTTAATATCCCAAAGAACCGAAATTAATTTAACTGCCATATATATATATATTCATTGGCATATATTGTATTCCGAAACTTCATAAGAATCTTTACAAACAAAGGTACATAGCGGGTTCCAGTAAATGTTCAACTAAGACTCTTTACTTCTCACAAATACCCCATTCATACGACGAAAATTTGCTTATGTGTAAATATGCACACGTAAGTAAAAGTTAATTTGCTAAGTGTTCGGACGAGATTTATTTATTGTAAGTAAATCCGTTTATTTTTAGTACAAAAAAAGCAAATCTAAAATCTTTTAGGAAAAAATTACACAAGAAAAAAGGAAAATTAATTTAAGAAATGTTTAAAATTTGAAAATGCTTTGGCCTTGGTCCTAGAGACTATAGAGGAGCCTTTGGGTGTTAAGAAAAAGATGGCTGTTGCCTTCTACTGGTTGGCGTCTTCAGCAGAATGAAGGGTGACTGGAAATCTTTTGGTTAGTGTTTGGAAATCTACAGTGCATCAAGTTTGCGAGGTCGTTATGAAGTATCTGCTTGAATATTATACGTATTTTCCAAGAAAATGAAATGGGCAATCGATTTTAAAAAATTCAAACAAAACAAATATGAGAAAAGGAAAAAAAAAAACACAAATTCCCTAGAAATCGATGGTGGGATCAGATGCCAGGGAGAATACTTAATAATGCTTATTTTCAACAGGGTTGTTGAAATTCCTGTACAATCAATTTATATATCAGTAGCTTGCCTTGATTTAAAAACAAAGAAAGATAGAAAAATGTCAATCTGTAATGGGGCTCGGGCGATTGATGGAATACCTATTCCTATCACAATTCCGGAGTATTCCCATAGAAACTATTTGAATAGTAAGGGGACTACTTACTGATCCTGCAGGGCACATGTTTGCACGACCTAATCTATATCTTTATAATTTAGAGGCATAAACATAAGTTTGCCAGAAAGGGTGCAAAGTGTGCACGTTTTTTTAAATTCAAATTTATCTCAGAGGAGGCTGGAGATATAGTGTGGATCCTTTTTTTCAGAGTTGCAAAAGCCATTTGTGGAAAGAACTATGCTAGTCCAACCCGGCGTATCCTTTAAAAACTCAGTTTACTTTCATCAGTCCTTTAAGTAAGGCAAAGGAGACCATAAAAAATCCAGTTTTTTAAAGTTTTGCTTTCTAGCCGCCATGTTCACAGAATAATATTATACACACAACAATGCATAAACAATCGAAACAACACTTAAAATGGAGATTTATGCAATAAACAAAACGAAATACGAGGGGCGATCAAAAAGTTCGCAAACTAATTGAATAACTTCCTTACAAGAAACAATATTTGGTTTTAATGTTGATTATATTTTAAATTAATCCTCCCCGATTTGAATGCACATCAACCACCGTTCTGCGCATGCGCGAATCACGTGATATTGGCGGTCACGTGACCCCCTCCGTAGTGTTCTGTCACAAAATTAAAAGATTTTTCCGAGTTTTATATTTCTTTCTATGTGAGTTAATTTTTATAACAAGAACAATTAATTTGTCAGAAATGGTCATATCTCGGCAACAGAATGGGTGGATAATAACATCCTTTCCAAAAATAAGCATGGCGACCATTAAAGCACAAATCTTCTGTCTCAGGAGAGACCTTTATTCAAGGTGGAGAGAGAATGGGTGCATCCTTTTTATCATATCTAATATGTTTAAAATCTAAAGTAAACGATATCTTAGGTATTTAATACTTATATCATTGTTCAAATATTCAACTATTTTTCAAAGTGCTAATTGGAGGTCTTTGATAGCAAATTGCTTAATTAGAAATACATATCCTTTCAAACTTGCTTTCACTGGGCAAGATGACAAGTATCATTTTTAACCATCAGCCTTCCTTCACTAAAACGATTAATCCAATCATTAATTGAATTTATAGGAACTCATTTATCTCAATAAACTGTTTACAAATTATTATATGATACTGTAGAGGGATTTCTAAGATATTACAATAAATTATACAGTCGTTTGGTGAACGAGTTCGACTGAGACAACCATTTTTCGTCACAAGTGACCTAAATAGTGACGTCATTTTCACATTGTGACGTCACAAACAAGGAGAGAAACTTTATTCAGCATATGCTATTTATAGACCTTGTGTATGGCTATGTGTGTACCGAATTTCATTCTAATCTGAATTGTGGTTTTGTAGATACAGAGATAGTTTGCAAACTTTTTGATCACCCCTCGTACAAACTAAGTAAATTTGCTGCGTGTTCATACGACAAAATTTACACACATGAACTAATAATTTGCGACAACTTGCAAAAGTTAATTTGCACTATGTCCTAATCAGGTGTAAATTTACTCAACTGTGCAGAATTTACATGTAAGCAAATAAGTTCATTGGACAAAAATTGCACATGTGAGTAAATTTACATATGAGTAACATATACTGAGGTATGCAAATCATGTCGTATAAATGGGGTATAAGATATCAATAGTAGTGAAGGAGAAACTTGAAGAGTACTGTGCAACAATATATTCAAGAAGCAGTGTAAATCACGTATGGATACTTAAAAATTCTAAGGAACTTTTTTAACAATTCGAAATCAAAAGATTTTACTATAATCAACAGATTAAAACTGACGACTTGTCATCTTTATACACCATTCCCCACGATAAAGTCCAGGCTTTTTGATATCATTGACAGCTGTTTTTTCAATAAGAATCGTATTCGTTAATTTATTTAGCTTTTCTTTGATCATTTAAAAAAAATATTTTGTTAAAAACATTCTGATGTACACACACAATTTGACATCAAGAAGATGCTTGAGTTTTTGCTTGACGATATCTATGTCCTTTAAGGGAGACCAGGTCTTCCAACAATCTATTAAAATTCCCACGAGTACTAATTGCGCCCCATTATTAACAGTCCTATTTTTTGTATTCATATGAAGCAGAATTTATGCAAAATCTTATGTGTGAAAAGAAGAAAACACTTGCTGTGGCCTTCAACTCGACATTCAGATATATCGATGACGTACTGTCAATTAACAATAGCAATTTCCATTCTTATGTCGATACGATATATGCTGGTGAGCTTGAGATAAAAGATATCTCACAGTCTGATATATCTGATTCATGCTGAGATATTTTCCTTGAATAAGACGTTAATAGTCATCTTATAACCAAGCTCTATGATAAACGTGATGACTTCAACTTTTCTATCGTCAATTTCCCGTACTTATTCAGCAATATTTCAATTTCTAATTTTTTTCTTTGTGATAACCCTTTGAAAGTTAGCAGAGCTGATTTCTTGATAATTCTACCGAAATTTGAATTAAGCAGGTCGATAGGTCAGCAGCTAAGGAGGCCTAATATGCATGCAAATCCCGTGCCGATCTGTCTCTGTGTCTGACGCTAAGGAGGTCAAATAGGTTATGCATGTAAATTTTGTGCGGCTGCCTTTTTGTTTGACATTGGGGCGAGGACTATTGAAATTGGCATGGTAGTCCTCGTGTATTTTAAATCTATGTCTACATTTTTAAAGTCAAAATCCACCATTTTATTTCACAATGAAATGGAACTATAAGGAATCACTGTCTACTTAGTATAGTATGCCTGGGACATCAATGATAGTGGGAAACATGGAATAATTTGCATGACGGACGAAGCCCTAATTAGACAGTGATTCCTTAAATATACCTTCATCACCTGCATACTGAGTTTACATATCTCAGTTGACTAGATACGCAAGAGCATGCTCTGCGTATGAACAATTTTTTTACAACGAAGTAAATTATTGACAAACAAATTGATGATACAACAATTTCAGCAGTCTCGTTTAAAGTCACCCTTTCGCAAGTTCTATGGTCGATAAAATGACCTTGTCAGCAAATACAATATATTATTGAGTCAAATGATGACTGAAGTTTTTCATACTTATTGCTAGTACATTATTTATACACTGAATTGACGACGGATTTTTTCGTTATTTCCCGATCATGACAAGGAGCACACGACGGATGTGACGGTTTGGCAGGGGATGCTCACTCCTCCATGGCACCTAATCCAACCTCTTATATTTTGGATATCCGTATTTGCTTTGCTACAATTTTGTACTATATTATGGACTTTTGATCTGAAATACCGTTCATTTCTCCATATGTTTCATTTCATACCTTCATCAACTGCATACGGAGTCATATATCTCAATTTATTCGTAACACAAAAGCATGCTATAAGTATGAACAATTTCTAAAACGAGGTAAATTATTGACAAACAAATTGATGATACAACAATTTCAGCAGTCTTGTTTAAAGTCATCCTTTCGCAAGTTCTATGGTCGATAAAATGACCTTGTCAGCAAATACAATATATCATTGAGTGAAATGATGACTGACGTTTTTCATACTTATTGTTATTACATTATTTATACACTGAATTGACGACGGATTTTACCATTATTTTGCGATCATGACATGGAGCACACGACGGGTGTGTTAGTTTGGCGGGGGATGCTCACCCCTCCATGGCAGTTGATCCCACATCTGGTGTTTTGGAGGTCCTTGTTTGCTTTGCTCTTATTTGGTATTGTTTTATGGACTTTTGATCTGGAAAACTGTTCATTAATCTCCATATGTTTCATTTCATATCTTCATTGCATGCATACAAAGTTTATATATCTCAGTTAATAAAGTATATGTATGAACAATTTCTAAAACGAGTTAAAGTATTGACAAACAAGTTGATGAAACAAAAATTCCAGCAGTCTCATTTAAAGTCATAATTTCTTTATTTCTATGGTCGATACAATGATCTAGTAAGCAAATACAATTTATCTTTGAATGAAACCAGCCGGCAGAGGATGCTCACTCCTCCATGGCAACTTATCCCATCTCTGATATTTTGGAGGTCCGTGTTTGCTCTGCTCCTATTTTGTACTGTTTTATAGACTTTTGATCTTGAGAACTGTACGCTATCTCCATATGTTTCATGCAAACTAAGGCTGAATTTCATTTGATGAGATCAACTTTTTTTGAGTAAATTTACCATATAAATGCTGTGGTTCCCCTCATATTCGTTTATATGTTTACCAATAGACTTGTGATACTTAGTTATACCTAGTTATAGCTTTTGAAAAGAGTGTCTTATAATTTAGAACTTAACCCAGTGCAAAAACGGAAATGCAATGTTTTGTACGAGGGTTGTCCCGTAAAATCGTGGACAGAGCGTTTTTCTCGAAAAGTAATGGGCGCACTAAGCTGAAAATTTCAGGAAATGTTTATTTGTCATATTTGAGTACATTACATTTTTTTTGATAAAATATAGGCAAAAATAAAGATTTTATTATGCTTGAATGTGCACGAGGTATTGTCCTACGGCGCACGGTCAAAAAACGAAGGTTTTATTAAAGAATACACAAGTTTGAATTCAAAATAAAAGTTTTAAATACAATTCAATTCCACAATCAATTTTGTAGTATTTGTAAAAATTTTAAGGCATTTGCTTAATTTTTGGCAGTTTCTCGAGCATACGAAATGGGTAAGTGGTAAACACATCACACGAAAAAAATGGCGATGTTTTATGACGTTACGGCGCACCGGAGAACAGTTCAGTTTTATTTCGATGTTGTAATGACACCTTTTGAGACTTGAAATGACCATAGAAGAAAAAAGATTATAAAAATATCACCATATCTTAAGTATACAAATGAAATAGGAGTTTTCTTAGCGAAGTTTTTTTTTTTGATTAAGTCCCTGGGGAGTACAAAACATACGGACAAACTCCTCATGTAATAGCAAAAGACGCTGTCACAATAGACCGCCGATATGAGATTTTCTATTAGTTGAATGATGGTGAGAATATTGTCCGTAACTTACTAATAAATCTTCTGAAGATCGCATGAGGGTGCCAATATGGTTCTTCGGCTGTTTATGGAGACTAAAGAATGTGTATCAATGAAATTCCTAAATATAAGTCGGACTCATCCAACTTCACGTTCAGAAAAGATAAAATGTGACGCTGTTTTAGACACTTTGACGTTATAATCCATGCGCCGTAAGTTGATACAATACATTGCATAAAATCTCATAATTTGTTTATTTATGCATATATTTATCTGAAATTTGCTGTGTATATTACTAAAATATGTACTAGATAATAGTGAAAATTTCAGAACGCAGTGATGTTTATTTTTCACATTAGACAACTTGTCCACGATTTTACGGGACAACCCTCGTAGATGTGAATTTTGAAGCTTAAGAACTGAGTAAAATAAATTGTACGAGGGTCGTTCAATAAATGATGCATCAATTCATCTAAAATATGAAAAAGTACATAATACATATTCTTAATAGTTTCAATCCTTCAAGGCATTCCCTGTTACCCTTTATTACATGTACTTTGTCTTTGTATCCATGCACAGAAAATCTCAGCATACTCATATTTAGGGATGCCCCAAAGGCACTGACGAATATCATTTCCCATCTCATATCTGACATTGATTGTTTTCATGCGTTTTGGGAATTAAAAGATCTCACAATGTCTTAGATCTATCTAATATGACCGATGAAAACGTTCTATTCAATTATTTTCTTATTTATTTCTCTAAGCTGCGTTGTCAGGCACAGGAAAAACACCCTGCTCACCGAAATTTGGACTACCCTTGCAAGAAATCTGCTTAACTTTACTTGGTGCAATTCGAACATAAAAGTTACCATTGCTGGTCCGTCCTCCGAATATATGTACATGTTCTAAAGGATCTCTCCAAATACACGAAAACTAATAAAACATGTTTGGAGCACTTGCTTCTCTTTATCATAATAAAATGACACCTTTTCTTCAATTTCAAATTTTTCTATTATTAATCTTGTTTTTCGGCTGTAAAAAAGTGCATTTATGATTTGTCATTTATCAAGAAAGTTTATCATATCTTCTATTTTTAAAAAAAATATTCCTTTTAAATAGACCGTTGCCACTTTAACCACATGTTTTCTCTGAGGTATTTGTAAGAAAGTAGGGCACCTTTCTGATAGAAATGTTAATTTTTTTTCTTTGTCAAAATTCTACAAAATGCTGTGATGATATAATGTTTAGTATCTTAACGACGTCTTTCCATGTAAATTTAGCATTTTCAGATATCATGTGGCACATTACATCGATATTTTTGGTGCCCCCTCAAAATCTGCCACATTGATTGTAATATTTAAACTCTCCTTTTTTCTTGTGAGTTATAGCATCCATCTGAAAAGTATACATCGTTAAAGATAACTCTTGTCTACATATAAAATCATTTCTTAAATGTGAGTTTTTCGGCGATGTATGTTAAAACCACAGTTTTCACATACGCTGTTATTTTTATTTTCTTGGCAGAGATCATTTATAAATAGTTTTCTGCTCAGTGTAGTGACCATGCTTACTTTAAAAGTGAATTTCTTTGCGTAGACAGTAGGAAAATTCATGGGGTTTTCTGTCCTTAGGACCTCTTTAGTTGAACTTTTCAACTGTGAAAAATAAAATTAAATTATGATATGCTTTAAATTGCATTACTTATTGAACGACCCCCGTAGAGTTCAAGTACATATCAATGAATCTTCTGTTTATTACATTTTTGTGCGCACCCCTTTGCGCTTCTCTTTAACAACGAATTGTCTTGGACTTTGACCTTGGGCCTAAACAGTTTTATGTAATAAAAATATGCCACAACAGTCCTCATCCCTGGCACACTTTGATAAATGTTTTGCCTGTTAAGTACATACCTTTCTTATGTTTCACTTCACATTTACTTCCTAAAATTATTCGATATAAAACCTGTCAACTGTTGTAATCTTTTATCAGATGGATAAATCAAGATAAGGTAAAAAGAATATGTTAAATAAATACATGTATATAAATTTTGTGTATTTCAGAGAGAATGTATAATTTCACTGTGCGGACAATCAATGATGTAGTAGAAACACAGAAAGTTAGTGATCCTAGTGAGGTTATCAACTGTTCAACAAAACATGGAGGTATTTTAAATCATAACTGCTATACACACAATTAAATTGAAAATAAAAATAAAAATTACTTTGTTAAAACTCGCTCCGGTTCCAGCTATCCGAGTGTGATATAAAAAATGTTCGGGTTTCTGAAAATATCTACCGTGAAATCACTAATTTCATGGGAGATTAAATTTCGTGGTTTTCGGGTATGGAGAGACTCATAAATTTATGACCGTCAAGAAATGTTAACTTTAACCAAGCATTACCACAGACTAAACATTTCCGAAGTACAAAATAGAAGTCTAAAATAAAACAAGGTATTCCCTACTCTGATGTTTTGGAGGTCCGTGTTTGCTCTGCTCCTATTTTGTATTTTTTTATGGACTTTGATATTGAACACTGTTCGATATCTTCATATCCTTCCATGAATATCATTTTTGTTGTTATTCCAAACACTTCTGATGAGAACTGCATATAAAAAGAAAGCTATATTAAGTAAATGGAAAAAGAAATATTTAATTTAAACAACATTTATTGAATAAATACTGAAAATACTGATTGGGCAACAGGCTTAAAGCCTACCTCTCTACAAAATATTTGAAGCACTATTTAAAACGATATTGAAACAAAACTGTTTTGCTTGAAATATTGGCATTCTTATTTATTTTCAATTTCAGTATCTACCCCTCCAACTAAGTTAAATATAAGTGAAATTGGTAGCAGAGGTTTTAAGATTAGTTTTGAAAAACCTATAAATGTGAGCGGTCAGTTAGCTGGATACAGAATCATTATCATGGAAGGATCCGCCTGTGTACAAGAGATCTTTCTGGAAGGAAACTGTCCGCAATGTAAGGTAAGGAACAAATACATTAAGTGAAAAACTACATTTTTGATTAAAATAATAGATCCATACTGAACGTTTAATAACAGTATGTCAAAATACAAAATTCTTACATTAAGTACCTACTTAGCAATCAATATACATTCAAAAAATGGACAAATTTATCTACAAATAAACCTGATTATGATCACTTGCCCTGTTTTTTTTTCTGGATAAAATGCTATGCGTTAAATTGTATAGCAAGCCCATTTTAAATAAAAATTTAATCCTGTCACTTAACAAACCCTGCATGGATTGTCTACCTATAAACTATAAGAGGGATTTATGCTTTTAATGCTATATTTGTCAAAATTTGGTTTTAAAATACGTCTTCATTGCCATATTAGCAGTACTAATACGATTGAGATGTGCTATGCTTTTTATTGCTGAATTGTAATATGTTTTAAGGATATAGTTGACTGTGCAAACCCCCAGCTCATCCAAAAATCTGAGATAACCCAGCCTATGGTACACCAAGTAACTGATCTAAAACCTTACACCCATTACATTGTTAAAGTGGCAGCAGTGAATGGAAATGGTGAAGGACGCTTTAATAATGCAACAGCTAAGACTGCTGAGGAAAGTAAGCAATCACTTGAATTATTTAACTCTTCCATAAATTATATGCATCTTTTCGAACAAAAAAAAATTATCGTTAAACTTTTCTTTGATTAAGACTTATAATAAATTGAACGCATAAACATTAGAGATCTTTTTGACTCCTACAACAACGTTAAGCATTTAGATTTTTTTTAAATGAACTTTTCTTCACAATGGTTTATGAAGTTTTCTTGGCCCACAATGATTTTTAAAGTCATGTAATTATATCATTTTTTACATCTAATTTCATCCTCATATTATTCAGCTCCACAAAAACCTGGAAGTATAAGAGCAACTAATATAGAGGCCAAGACTCTGACATTGTCCTGGGATGTAGCAGGTCCCTCACCTGGCAACACAACATACACTATAGAAGTGCATGAAGGGACTGATGATACTGGAACAAACTTTATCCTGAAAGAACCAAAACTAAACACGTACGGTGAGTATCAAAGAAAGTTCCTTTATATTAGATTATACTGACAAACAAATTATGTTCAATACATTGCACTTGTAAGTTACCAATATTTGCCAGCTCAATTCATGAATCTCTAAGAATGTAAGAAGAAACGAGACTTGTAAAGGGTATTTGATGTAATTTTCAAAGCCATAGCATTAACCATTTTTTGAATTTCAATAACTAATGCTATTTTTTCAATGAAGACCACTGCAAGGTAAAATTATGATGTAAAAATATTGATCCTCTAAGAAAGGTCTTGTCACAATTGGAAAACACATGTGAAGATGCACTATGTTATGCATAATCATGCACATGCGTATATCTAACTAACTTGAATAACAGTCAATGGACCAGAATAAACAATGGTAACTAAACTGTGTAAAAGGTCCATCAAGAATTTATAAAAATGCACCTCGGAAAACTGAAGAATATCTACCCCTGTTAGAAGAAAGAGACTTAAAGAGACCGGTAAGTTTCATTCATCCATCGTAGAATAGTAATACAGTCATGTGTGGATTTGCATTCTATAATTAAATTGAACGGGCGGTTGTAACTTTCCTAAGTTAAAATGAAAACATTTCAATCATCATTTCTCCAGTGTTTTGAAAATCAAGATTTCCCTTACTGTTGAAATATGTATCAATTTTTATGTCTTTCTTTTGTAAATATCAGTAATACCATTACACAAAATGTAATTTAGGTTTTCACCAGAAGTCATTGTCCATAACTGATCTGGAGGAATACTGGCCGTACAAGTTCAAAGTTATTGCTGCTACAATTAAAGGGACTAGTGCATCAGATTTATCAGATATTGTCAGAACAAAACAAGCAGGTTTGTCTCTGAGTCATATTAAACTGCTAAAATATAAATTATACATTTTGAATATGAATTTCCAGTTTAGAAGAAAATTTTTTAGGTGAACGGAATACGTAAAATAAAAAAATCTATCTGAGTGGATAGAATGTAATTTTAGATCTATCCTCCTTATGTCTCGTGAGTCATCATTTGGCATACATATTTGTCCTAGTCTCTTTGAGGCTATATGAGGTCTCGCTATTTTTAAATAGTTCTTATTGTTTATAATACTAACATCTATGCAAATAGGAATGATGAATACATCTATTGTTATTATTTTAAAAAAAAATATGTAGCACCAGGACAAGTAGAAAACTTCACTATCGAAATAAGAGACGGAGATTACAGAATGGTACATTTTTCATGGAGCATCCCATCACTGAAGGAGCGGAATGGTGTCTTAGAAAACTATCATTTCAAAATTCTTCATAAAGGGGTAATTTGATTTGACGTACATTCAGAAAAGTTTTAATTTATATTATCCTAAAGATTACGTTTGATAAATTAGAAAAATACTAGCATTTAATCTATCATTTGTAACAGAATATTGCATACAGGTTACCCAGTTTGTCTGGATAATTCTTCCTACAGCTTTGAAGGTGAAACTATTTTGTCAGAACAATAAAACTTGTATAAGAAATCATTATGGGTTCATTTCAATGACTTGAACTCTTGATATAAATAGAGAAAAAAACCCAGATGTCAAACTTATTCATTTCACAAACTGTTGCATAAGGGTACCTTATTTCACCACCATTGTTAAAAATATTTTGTTAAATAGAGAGAAGAAACAGGATGGGAATTTAACAATTAAACACATAAGTGCTTTACCTACTGAATTAGTTGGCCATGACCCAAACCATTGCATATGCATATAAAGAATTGATTTAACTGCAGTCTTCATCTTAGATTTAAGTATTTGACTTTTTTTACAGACAGAGATATTAACAGGAACAATTTCAGTCTCCCTCTCAATACAACGTGTTGAACAAAATTTTACAGTTGTACCAGATGAAACATATACTGTAACGGTAAATCGTAATCAAATTATCTTCCTTAGAAATCATTTAGACTTCATTTTTTATAATATTGCCTATGCATACTTAGGAATTTCATGATGGTATTGATTTCAAATTTGCAGCATTTGTACACACTGATTTTGAATATGTCTTTTATTCGCGTCCGAGAAAAATTCACGAGTTCCGCGACCAACTTTAACTCGCAAATATTAATCACTTTGAACGTATAATTTTGCTTAGTATTTGTAGATAATGGTTCATCGTTTGCGAAAATTAATTGTTGCGAATTTATTTCAAATGAACGAATCGCGAATAAAAGATGACGCAAATAATAGTTAGTTTACAGTACTAGTTGCCTTGTTCACCTTCAATCCTTCTGTCTGTCCTTCCACCAAACTTTGCCTTTAGTCCAGCTCAGGATAATTATTTATTAATATATTTTAATCAATCTTCATATGCTGATACATTTTGACGTTGGCTGAATTTACTTTATTAGCATTTTTGTCATTTACTCTTCCTTTGACCTAGCTCAGTTTCAGAAAATAACTGTTCATAATAATTTTATTACACTCCAAATGCTGATGCATTTTAGAATCATATTTGCATATTGTCAAGAGTTATTCAACTTTATCAACATTTTTATATCTTGACCCTTTTTTTCTTTGTCTCCAATTTTTTTTTATGTTTATCTCACTTAAAAACATTAGGATCTTTTATCAAGCCTAACATACGCTGATAATTGATGACTTGTTTTCTTGTTTTTAAGGTATATGTCACAAATAATGAGAGTATGTCCGGTCAGGTTGTCCAACAAACCTATACTGTACCTGCTGGGCGTGAGTAGTATTGTGTTCTTTTTAATAAAGTTATTTTAATCTATTAAATTAGAAAATTTTATTGTAAACATGATTGTCAAATCATCTGAGCTGAATGCTAAATTGTGCTTACATTTTAGCGCACCTGAGCCGAAGGCTCAAGTGCATGAGCTTTTCTGATCAAAATTTGTCTGTCGTCGTTGTCGTCATTAACTTTTCACGTTTTCGACTTCTTTCAACCAAACTTGGCACAAAGTATTCTTAGGTGAAGGGGAATCAAGTTTCTTCAATGAAAGGCCATGTCCTTATTAAAGGGGAAATATTGAGAAATAGTGAAAATTTGATGGTATGTTTTAAAAATCTTCTTCTCAAGAACCACTGTGAAAGGAAAGATGAAACTTATAGGGAAGCATCCTCAGGTTGTTTAGATTCAAATTTGTTCAAATCATGACCCTCGGATGTAGGGCTGGGCCACAATGGCCGATCAAAGTTTTACATAGAAATATAAAAATTCTTTTAAAAACTTCTTTCAAGAAACACTGTGCCAGGAAAGATGAAACTTATAGGGAAGCATCCTCAGGTAGTTTAGATTCAGGTTTGTTCAAATCATGACCTCCAGGGTTAGGGTGGGGCCACGATGGCCGATCAAAGTTTTACATAGAAATATAAAGGAAAATTTGTTAAAAACTTTCTTCTCTGGAATATGAAAGGCATCATGGTCATATTTATGTGGAAGCATCTTCAGGTAGTGTAGATTAAATTCAGAGTTGTTCAAATCAAGACCCCTGGGGGTAGGGCAAGACCACAATGGCCGATCAAATTTTTACATAGAAATATATAGGAAATTCTTTAAAAATCTTCTTCTTTGGAATAGCAAAGGCATGAATGATCATATTTTTATGCAAGCATCTTCAGGTAGTGGAGATTCAGATTTGTTCAAATCGTGACCCCTGGGGGTAGGGTGGGGCCACAATGGCCGAACAAAGTGTCACATAGAAATATATAGGAAAAGTCTTCTAGTTATTCTTCTCTGGAGTAGCAAAGGCCTGAATGATCATATTTTTATGGAAGCATCTTCTGGTAGTGGAGATTCAAATTTGTTCAAATAATGACCCCTGGGGGTAGGGCGGGGCCACAACATGGAATCCAAGTTTTTTCATAGAAACATGTAGAAAAATCTTTAAAAATCTTTTTTTCAAAAATAGCAAAGCCATGATTAGTCCTATTCATATGGAAGCATTCTCAGGTAGTGTAGATTCAATTTTGCTCAAGTCATGACCCCAGCTGGGGGTAGGGCGGGGCCACAATGTAAGTTCAAATGTAAAGGGCAACAAAGCCAGAGGTAGTCAAAGAAATATGCAAGCATCCTTAGTTAGTGTAGATTCAAGTTTGTTCAAATCATACCCTCTCCCTTTATAGGATTTTTCGGGACCACTATTGGGTTTTAGCTTTTTAATAATAAACTGATTTATGTTTTTTTCCTAGCCACATTGCTCCGGTGAGCGATGTGGCCCATGTGCCTCTTGTTTGTCTCGCGCCTGTTTGTTCAACTGTAAACCTTTTACATTCTTGACTTAAACCTGACAGCAATCTCAAAGCCATGTTTACGTATATGTATTTCAGTATAGACGCATATGCTTCAGCAGAAAAAAGGGTGGGGCCACAGTGACTAGTCAAAGTTAAACTTTAGGAATAACTTCTTATTTTTCGATTTCATGATGTGATCAATCGATTGGCTTGCGTGATAAAATTATCAAGGAAGCCAATCTATTGATTCCGCCAATCCACGTGCTACAGGCTTCTTGTATCTATTTGTTCTGCATTGATGGAGAAATAGAGTACCTTTGTAATTTTATCTCGAACAACGACATTGGAAATGTAAACATGTAGTTATAAATAGGAAAAAAAATCTTCTCAAGAACAACATAGTATTGAATAGTTATACTCATATTTTTCATATCGTCATAAATCATACATTCTAGTTTATTCAAATCATGACCCAGGGATAAAATTGAGCAGCATTAGGCAACCTGAATTATACATAGTAATATAGAATAGCTGGTCTGACAAATAATCATACTAAGCTAATGAGTTGAATTCAGTTTAATTTGCAAGACCTGTAACTGTTTCAAGAAAACTATATCTAATTAATAAAAAAATGGCCTTGGCAATGGAAACTCATATTCCATCATATATGATATCTTACATAACATAACACATAAAACTGATAACTACCATAAATGAAACGATGCAATTGACAGTGGATATAATTAGTTTTCATCCATTTTATTGATTGATTGATTGTATATTGTTTAACGTCCCTCTCAAGAATTTTTCACTCATATGGAGACGTCACCGTATGCCGGTGAAGGGCTTCAAATTTTGACCTTTACTCGGCACTCAGGGCCATTGAGCAGTGAGGGATCTTTATCGTGCCAACGCCTGCCGCTGACACGGGGCCTCGGTTTTTAAGGTCTCATCCGAAGGACCCGCAACTTTCACTTCAAAGTGCCGAGCGCATGGCGAAGGAACAGTTGCTACCCATTTTAACGACTAGGTCAGTCGCGGCCGAGATACGAAGTCACGACCTCCCGATCACGGAGCGAGCGCTCTACCGACTGAGCTACCGTGAACGGTCATCCATTTTATAGGTGAAAATTACATGGAGATACGAGGGTTGTCCGGTAAAATCGTTGACAAAACGTTTTTATTGAAAAATGATCGTCGCACTTAGCTGAAATTTTCAGTAAATGTTTATTTATCATTTCTAACTGCATCATAATTTTTTTGATAATATAGAGACAAAAATAAAGATTTTATTATGTTTGAATGTGAACAGGGTACGGTCCTACGGCGCACGGTCTAAAAATCAAGATGTTATTAGTTAATACACAGGTATTAATTAGAAATAAAAGTTATAAATATATAAGATTGAGATAAAAATTATCCTAATCCGATTCCACAATCAATGTTTTCGTCTTTTTAAAGATTTCAAGGCATTAGGTTAATTTTTGACTGCAGTTTCCTGATCATTCGAAATTGGAAAGTGGTAAACACAACACTTAAAAAATGGCGACGTTTATGACGTAACGGCGCACCGGAGAGCAGTTCAGTTTGATTTTGATGCTGTAATAATCCCTTAAGAGACTCTAAATGAAAACAGAAGAAAAAATATTTAAAATATCACCAGATCTTTAGTATACAAATGAAATGGGAACTTTCTTAGCGAAGTCTTTTTGATCGAGTCCCCGGGTAATACAAAACATACAGACAAACTGCTATATTGTAATAGCAAAAGAAGCTGACACAGTCGACCATCGATATAATATTTATGTTAGTTGAATGATCGTGGATATAACTGTCCGTAACTTAATAAAAAATCTTCAGAGGATCGCATGTGTGTGCCAGATTGGTTCCTCAACTGTTTATGTAAACTCAAGTAAGTGAATCATTGGAATTTCTAACTTTAAGTGGGACTTATCCCTCTTTATTTTTATCAAAGATGAAACGTGACGCTGTTTTAGACACTTTGACGTTATCTTCCGTGCGCCGTAAGTGGATACAATACATAACATAAAATCTCACAACTTGTTTATTTATGCATATATCTATTTATAATTTGTCATGTATATTCGTAGTATATGTACTATATAGTGGTAAAATTTCAGAGCGCAACGATGATTATTTTTGACACTGGACAACTTATCCACGATTTTACCGGACAAAACTCGTAAAAGTTTGCCGTAAGATACTATATTTAACTAGTTAATATTTACTTTCAACTACTTCTGCAAGAATGCAGTAGAATAAAAGCTTCCTATTTCCCCCACTTTTAGCTCCTCCAATAGACAAAAACATGTCCCTGATAACTACAAAACCCGATGAACACAAGCCCTCATATCACACCATCACAGTGGATGTTAACATAGATTTCTTCAAAAATGACTTAAATGGAAAACAAGTACTATTTGGAATAGCTGTATGTGAAGAATCAAAATGTACATGTAAGTACAATTGATAATAATGTTAATAAATATTAAATAATATTACATATCAATTAAATATATGCTGTTTTAATTATTTTGAAATCTCTAATTTTAGTTCAAGGAACATTAAATAAGAAAGAAGACTGGGAGGCTTTACCTAACTGGAATATTGCCAGTAAATCTGGATTTCCTTTATACAGAGTCACAAATGAAACGTACATGGAAGAAATCAGGATTGAAAGTGAATTGCAATACAAGTTACACTACTTTCTGTTTCCATCTGTCATAACCTATGTGGCGTTTCCATTACTCGCACAGACACATTTTGTGCTTTTTTTGATATCTCGTGCAAAGAATTAATTTCAATAGAATTGAACTTTATGAAAAGACAAGGTTGCAGTTCTTCAATGGAAATTTTATTGTCAAATTTCATTTTCAATAGATTTTGTCGAATTGTTTGGAATTTTGCCCTCACATTTTTTTAGACAAGAATTTCTTTGAGATGTCTAATATATGATCCCTTTGCTTGTAAACTTCTAGTATATGAATCTTCTCCTAATCAATTATTTCTATTTTTAATAACTTTTAAATTCACTCGTTATTCTGAAATTAGTTAGACATATAGTTTTTCTTCTGTTCTTTGCTTTTACATTGGGCACTGTTCTCATCTTGATATTTTATTTTTAATATTTAAGAAAATATCGGAAACAAGGTTATCGGTACTGTAAAGCTTGGTTATTTTTCCAAGATATTTTGCGTACTTTTACTAATGATACATGTACTTGAAATAAATCGAAATTTTACAAAAGCCTACATGCGCATTGGGGGAGGGGGCGGGGCGTCGCAATCATTTTACAAAATGTATATCTAACCAAGTTAAGAAAAGAAAAGAAATTCTACTTTTTTTATTGGCTTCATATTTTTGTAGGATCCAGAAGAAATAGATCAACGTCATCAGAATTTACTATTGGTGAAGATCCAGCATGTTCATCAATGGGTTCTAATATATACTGTAATGGACCTCTTAATTCTGGACATTCATACAGGTATAAGCCCTTCTGTTTAAATAAATGTCAGTTGTCAAAACGTGTACAAGTCAAATTATAACTGTGTAACAGTTTATATGTAAGATGTGTTTTATTTGAGTTTAAGACAAAAAACAAACAAACAAACAAAACTGGTGTTAGTTTCTGAAAACAGTTTTAAATAACATTATCCACTGCGTAATAATCTTGAAACAAATAAATGTCTTAACGTCTTAATTCATTATTGATATTTTTGGTAGGCCTGGCCTCCATCTTTTCATAAAATGCTTTAAGTATGGATAGTTAGAGTTTTTTCTTTAATTCATGTTCATATCTGATTTCAACTGTTCTAAGATGTTAAAAATATTTTATTATTTAAAAAAATCCAGAGTGATTGTATTTGCCTGTACAAATGGTGGATGCTCACAATCAAGTCCAGCTGGGCCATATCGCACACTTAATGGTATGAATTTAATTTAGAGCTTTTGACCCCATTTAAAAGCCCTCTTCTGTACTTAACGTAAACCTTTCGAAGACTCCTTTTGAACAATTTTAATTTACAAATTCTGTAACCGCAGACTGGATATCAATGCATCATTAAAAAATACCAACATAAAAAGATCCATGGGTCAAAGATTCATAGATATGTTGGTTTGTTGTTATAGAGTTCTATGAAAAGAGTAAAGATTTACGTTTTCCTCACACATTCTGATTTATGAGAATTGATTAGTTGATGGGTGAAAATTACTAACTGTAGGAGGTATGGTTAAATCTTTGAATCGTAAGTCAAGTTTATTATTTCATTTCAGAGAAAATTGACGAAACTGCAAATGTAGGTGTGATAGTTGGATCCATAATTGGAGTAATAATTGTGATTGTTGTTGTTATAGTGGTTTTGATCTTCCTACAAAGAAGAAACAGGTGCTGTATATATGTATTGAAATTATGTCGTATTCCTTTTAGAGAACTATCTCTGATGTTTTGCATGTCCGTGACTGATTGTTCTTCTCCAATTTTGTATTGTTTAAAGGACGTTTGAGCTTGAGTACAGTTCCGTATCTCCATATATTTGTATTTTAAAATGGTCAAAATTAATACTTAAACACTTTAAAAAAACAAATACAAATGGAGACATTCATTTTTTGTATCTGTGTCTCTCTGTGTGTGAAATGAGAGGAGCATTAAATATGAGATTTATTTTAGGAAAAATCAAAAAGACAGTAATACGTATGCAGATCTGGAGTTCAATCAACGAACCAAAAGGTACGCATTAAGAGAAAGCCAAATGTGTTAAATGGACTTTAAAACAGGTTTATCTCAAATTGGAACGAGGATCACAACCAGAAAAAACGTACGTACTCATTATTACTGATTACGTTGAAAGTATAAATCAAATCTATATAAAAATGCTTAAATATATATATATATATATATATATATATATATATATATATATATATATATATATATATATATATATATATATATATATACAGATCTATACCTGTGCATCAATTTGTTAGCCATATGGAGGATGTTATGAGAGACAGTAAATTAAAGATTTTTCGTGAATTTTCTGTACGTATGATTTATTAATATCACAAGATATCAAATACCCTTTTTATTGTACTGATAACTTTGTTTAGAATACATATTAAAAGGGAAACTCTATTAAAAAATTTAAACAGTTAAAAAATTCTTTACAAAGTTAATCGCTTTTTGTGACTCTTAATTTATTATCATTGATATTAATATTATTACTTACTTCCAAGAACCTGCTCCTATCAACTGGTAAAGAAAGTAAAAGAATAGGAGAATCAAAGATCAATTTGCCAAGAAACAGAAACATTGCTGTTTCGTGTAAGTTTATGAATGCAGCAAAATATCAATGTCAAATACATACGACTGCCGTCACAAGAAAAGGGCCCTTAAGGTCAACTTTTTACAAATTGACTTTTTGGTAAATTTTGAAAGCCGTACTCTTTTTGAATGCAAATATACATAAATTTTGAAAATATCTCACTTTTTCAGTATTTTATGAGCATTTTTGAGCATATTAGGGAGGCGCTCCAAAACAACTTTGACAAAACTTATGGAGGGTAATCGTGTTCAAAAATCCAGACTTGTAAGTTTGTAAATGCAGACTTGTAAGATTGTAAATGCAATCTTGTAAGTTTGTAAATCCAAACTCATTACAAATTTACAAGTCTGGATTTTTGAAGACGATTACCCTCCAAAGTAACTCGCTACAAATGTAATGACGTCGCCTGCGTCAAATCAATTTTCAAAAATTCTTAAAATTACATGCATGTTATTTAAATAACCTCAATCATTTTGAGAATTAAAAACTTAAGAAAGTATTTTTTTCTTCCAAGAGACTAATATGTAACTATTCTTATGGGAGTTCATATGTTATTACTATTTTCATGCTATTTTAGAGCAGTTCTAGTAATTTCTTAAATGGGGTGTGGGTCTAGAAAACACTTATAACATGTATATAGGGAAATAATATTTGTTTAAATCCATACAAATTATTCTTTTTATATAAAATAATCTAATTCAATTTTAAAATATAAATATAAAGCACTTGTGACACTTATAAAGATTAAAATAAATATATATCTTAGAGAGAATCCCATGCAGAAGGACACCACGCGCAAAACGGGGCATCCCCTCGCAAAAAGTACATCAATCCCGATACTTGAAAAAAATCATATGAGACAGCATTCACCAACACACAAGCACGTAACTTTATTCCCTATAACTGTTACGATATAAAGAAAAAACACCATGTATTTTCTGTATCACTAAAAAATTCAATTGAGAAATAAAATTCAGATACGCCAAGATGTGTAAATTTGTTTTTGAAAACGTTTATTCCGTTTATAAACATTCATGAATTTTATATATATATAAAAAAAATGGTTTCTTTAAAACTGACATGAAATACAATTTGAAAAATGTTTACATTTTAAAATTATTTATTAAAAATGTTTAAAGCTGTAAGTTTCCATTGTTTATACAGTCCTTTCCTTCGCCTGTCTTAGTTATGGAGTAGAAACATAGTAAATAATGTCTTATGAATGATTTATATACAGTATCTTAAATTGCAATATTCTTTGAATGAATATCTCAAATTGAAACCGTCTTTTAACTTTTTACTTTCTTACTTTTTAAAGAAGTAAATCACAATTAAAATTGGTTGCACTTATGAAGTTATTACTAATTAAACACAGTTTATTTTTAGCGATATTTAATTTTAGCAATCTTAGAACCCTAGCTAAAAATGCCAAAATTAAATCCTCGCTAAAATTCTGCTTATACGGTATTGATTTTGATACCGATTAATGAACTGCTTTATTGTGACTAAATGATACCGTCGCCACTTCCTTACACGTCATAACAACCAACAAAAACGATTATGACATAACAATCAACATGAATATACATGTAGCACATGAAATATAAACGAAAAGATTAAATACTTAAATAAAAACACTACCTGAGTGTCGAGTAAAGATTTTAATTTAAAGATCTTAACTCGTTTATGATAATGTCTGTATATCTGTGAAATGAGACTAATAACAGAACACAATTAATATTACTATCCTGCTCTTTGAAGTGATTACTGTTGCTCTCAACCATACCCAATATTTAATATTGTTTAGTTGTTATGAAAGTACTGATCCTTAGTCATTAATTTTACAGATGATTTCAATCGGGTAAAGCTACTAGAAGGGAAGAAGGGTTCACGGAATGACTATATAAATGCAAGTTTTATTTTGGTAAGTGTAGTTAAAATTTAATTATCTTGTATGTTAGTGACTTTTGTTCAGTACCAAAAACTTTTTGTGAAAACATATAAATGTATGCGACAAAGTGTTTCAACTACAATGCATATTTAGTATTCCGATTAAAATCCCTTAAAATTGGAATGAAACCGAGGCACGAAAATCAGCCGTTTTAGAAAGATGATAGTAAGAACCCTTCCAACCAAAACATTGTAATAAGAAAATGTAAAAGTTTTTGAAATCATTCATCTGAAATATATTCATTTTTGCAGTAAGTATAATTTTGCCTTTAAATAAGTTTATTCCTAACATTTTGTTGTAAAGGAACACCACTATATTATGACCCAGTATCCACTACCAAAGACAATTGGACATTTCTGGCAAATGGTGTGGGAACAGAACGCGCCCTCTATTGTAGTACTATCTGATGAGGACAATGAAAATATCAAGGTGAACTCTAATTTTAGCACTAATTAGGCCGTGTGTACAATTTGACACACATGTGTTGAAAGTAAATCTGAATGTATATATCTTTTATTAGTAAAATAATTTTTTAAAAAGTCAAAACGCTGAATTTAAAGTAAGTTATATAAATCTTTGAAGATAAAATATGTATACGTTAATAGATCCAATATTTTCACAATTTTCTTTCGTTAACTATACTTCAAAAACTTAATCATCAATTAATAAGGTACAAAAAATCCTTTCTTTAATTAGTTTCTTACATATCTGACTTATATTGAGACTAAAACTTAAATGCGCTTTAAACTTATTATGCAACCATACATGGTATGACGTTTATTTGAGGTTTTGTATCTTAAATTTCTGGAACTTTCAAGGAAATCTCTAAACTAATGTAGACGTACTTTTTTCCGCGGGGTCATATACTGTTTAATATGAGCTTAAAAGATCATAAGGCAAAGGAAATTTTTAAAGCATTTCATGATATAATTTTTTTAATTTATTTTATAAATATTTGAAGGGTGACCAATATTTCCCAGTCACTGATGGCGCAGTACATTCCGTGGGAGTCATTGACATAGAACTGCTTGCAACATTTAATATTCTTGAAAGAGCGACTTTACGTAAAATCAGGTTGTCTAAGGTAATGTTTCACAACATGGAAGCATGTTGAATATTTGTTTAAGACGTGTTTCATTGCGCATATACTCAAACTTTTTTTTAATCATAGAACTCATTCTTGCGCGGAAAGGAAATGAAGAATGTAAACCACTATCATGTTTATGGTCTGAAAATGGCAAATTTATCTGAGGAACTACAAAGTTGCATAAACCTTGTAAAATCGAATGAAAGAAATGTAAAAGAAACAGGACCATTGATTGTGCATGGAGGATGGTAAGTTGTCTAGTTAAATTTTAGTGAATCATTATGATTTTATGACTTTTTGTTTTGCATTTTGGTAATATATTTAAAAATCGCAAAGTGTACTTTTTTGATCTCAGTTCCTCGAATTTTACAAGTAAATTTGAATTTTAATGACAATTTTCATTGAAAACAAATCAAACCCATGATATACCTGCTAAATTAAAGCTATGAGCAAGTGAATCCGCATCATATGTGTATACTGTCATATCCATATAGCTCTGGGACTGACTATAGCGGAGTGTTCATCACAACGGATTATCTAGTTAAGTCAATAGATTCAGGTGCCAAGGATGTCGATGTATACCGGACAGCTTTGAAGGTTATGAATGAAAGAATGTCCGCAATTAATACGGAAGTAAGTTATTTTATGAAGACGATAAGAAATGCAAAAAATATATAGTGCATTTAACCTTACCTGAAGTTTATAACAATATGCGTATAGTATATTATACACTTATCCACTGGTTGTGAGTGGGATAGCTCTTTTATTAAACCCGCGACAGGGAACTAGGGAATAGTCCCTGTCAAGGGTTTGATAAAAGAGCTATCCCACTCACAACCAGTCGATAAGCGTTTTATTATACTGATGTATAATATAATATCTATGGTTTGAATTTTTTTTTGAGTGAGATAATACAGCAAGAATAATCTGAAATCCTGATTACGTCACAAAGAAATCATTTACATCATCAGTCAATAGATTTATCTGGAAATCAAAATTCAAAAATATGAAAAATTATGTTTTTGCCTGAACTATAAAAGATAGCTATTTTACCTTCTGAACTTTATATAGGAAACATTCTAACAGAAGTATAATAATTAGATTTATCTTGAATATATTTTGCTGAAACGTTTCACACCGTGTTCAAATCCTTTATAAAATTATGTTTTTTCTCTTTTAGGAACAATATTCAACAATTTATATTTGTCTTCAAAAATACCTTGTCTCAAAAGCAGATGTAAAAACATGTTACGAAAATTCTGAAAGAAAAAGTAAGCTTCAGGGATATTATTATTAGATTGTTGTGCTTAGTAAAAATAGATTGTTTACTT